TGAGGACTGAGGAACCAGCCTAAAGGTTTAGCTACACTATGCGGGATCCTACGTCCGTGATCTGCGAGTTTGCGGGTTTTGCAGAAAATCGGTACGCAGGTCAAGTTCAGCTGATAGGAAATACACAGGGTCGGCTACACTGGGGTCACGCAGATTCAGTCAAGGAAATCCCGGACGTTCAGTACGGAAATGCCGGATAGTCAGGACGGTCAGGATGTTCCGTACGGTCGTACCGATATAAAGTTCAGAGCTACGAACTTTTTTTGCAGAATCTGCGTGATTGCGTGATATGAGACTTGGCGCACTTCGTGGCGTACCGTATGAATCCAAGTGACGTAATTAATAATTGTTTCTTCAATTTTCATGTGTTTTTGATGTTTTATTACCCAATTAACTTATTATTAATAAAATAGTAAAAAAGCAAACTTAATAAGCGTTTGTTGCGAAAACATTTATTACCCAGTAAACATGCCGACGTCGGCCCGACGTCGGCCGACGTCGGGGTGACGTCGGCAACTCGGCATTGGCATGCCGACGTCGGCCCGACGTCGGTCCAACCTCGGCAAGACGTCGGCTGGATGTCGGATATGCCCGCATGTTCCGACGTCCAGCCGAGGTCCAGCCGACGTCGGGCCGACGTCGGACCGAGATCAATTGCTGAGGTCCAGCCGACGTCGGGCCGACGTCGGGGCGACGTCGGACCGACATCGGCCGCTGTTTTGACCGTTAAAATAATATAAAATACATGTTTCATGTTTCATAAAGAGCTTCTGTATTCAAAATATCCTCAGGAAACTCAAATCTTCCTCAACGCCGCAACCCCCTGATCCGGACCTGACGGGAAACTTTATCCCATTTGGGATTGCCCGTAAGCCGAGCTCGCCCGTAGCCGGGTGCGGTGAGTGCTTGGGGGCTGCTCGGCCTATCCTTTGGTCAGGCTCAGCCCCGGCAACTCACCAGGGCCGGGCCCAGTTCATATAGAAAGGCCAGTCGGCAAGTGTCACTTTGCCAAAGTGCCACTTATCAAAGGGACACTTTGGGAAACGTTGGTGCAGGTGTGTAAGAGTGGCTATATGAATCCATTGTGGGGTCGCCCTTTCCAATAAGTGTCACGTAACAGCAATGGGACCAGGGACTCTATATGAACTGGACCCAGGGTGCTCGCCAAGAAGACCAATGTCTCCATCCTATGATCCTTCCGGCTCTGAAATGATCTTGTCAGACCGAAAGGGCATAACCCAACAAAACAAACCAAATTCGTTAGCTGGCTGTGTGGTGTAGTGGTTAGTGCACTAACCTCGCGTTCGAAGGACACGGGGTTCGAATCCCATCGCCGGCTGATGCTTTTGGCGTGTTGTCCCAGTAAACATGCCGACGTCGGCGACTGGGGGGCTCGAATCCCGCCGCCGGTTGATATTTTTGGCGCGTTGTCCCAATAAACATGCCGACGTCGGCCCCGTCGGTCCAACGACAAACGATCTCGTCAACCTCGGCAAACGATCTCGTCAACCTCGGCAAACGATCTCGGCCCGACGTCGGCTCGACGTCGGCTGGACTTCGGCTGGACGTCGGAACATGCGGGCATATCCGACGTCCAGCCGATGTCGGGCCGAGGTTGAACCGACGTTGGGCCGACGTCGGGCCGAGCCTCGGCCCGACGTCGGGCCGACGTCGGCATGTTTACTGGGTAGTTGTTATTATTACGTCAGCATACAATAATTCACGGAAATTCTGGAAAATCGCAGAAATCGATGTCAAGGAAGTCTCGCAATCACGGATCTGCAGATCACGCACGTAATTTCCTGGACGGTCACGCATAGTGTAGCTCAGGCTTAAGCCAGTAACGGACTACTAACCCAGCAGCGAGCAGACCTTTAAGGTCGCGTTATCTTCAGGTCATCGGAGGGAAGGACTGGCCTCAGCCACCAGAGTGGACAGACTGTCTGTCTGGATTGGAATCTCAGACTCCGGGACAGACCTTCACTGGGCAGTGGGCAGGGCATCTCGGCCATAGTAAACCACATGCACCAAAAAAATGGGCAAACTAGTTAGGCTGAGGCTGAGCTCCACTGAATGTGCCGAGCATTACCCCGAAAATCGCAGCGGTCAATATAAATAATACAGCTTTTGTTTGAGCCACTCAAGAGCGTCAAACATCAAATAAGCGACAAACCACGTTCAATTCAAATGCAGCGAGACTTTGAACAGGACCCAAACCGCAGAAAACCTCACACACCGGTTTAGCAACTCTCCGACTTTTCGCGTCCCACCCATCCCCATGATTTCCATCATCACAAGCTGTCGTTCAATGAGCCACTACTGCTGCAACATCCACCCAGCGAAATCGTTCGACCCTTTATTACACCTGCCTGCATGGACCTAGACTAAGACCCGCCCACCACTACCGCCGTCTCCGCCGTCGTCCGCTCATCGTTGCCATTATGCGCCGGGCCCTCGGCGGCGGCGGCGGAACAGGGGCGGCGGCGGCGGTACGTCCCAGGGGAGTGATCTGTCACCGGGTCCGGCATAACGCCGCCGGCGGCCGCGCCGAGCATGACGATACACCCGTGCGATCGACCCCGCCCACTGGCTTTGTGATGGAGCTGGGCGCCGGATAAGGGGAGCGGGTCGTCTGGAGACAGGTTACAGCGTGACACTGAGTTGTGGGTGTCGGATGTGGGGGTCGTGACCGTTGAATGCACCATTTCGACTGACCATATATCGGTGTTACTATATGTAAATGATAAATCAAAACTAATTTAAGCTTTATTAACCCGCGAGTGGCTGGGGGGGGGGGCGTTAAACGCCCCCACTTTTTTCGCCGGGCCAACGGCGCGCCGCAGGCGCGCCAAATTTTGGGTACCTGTAGGGAATTGATTGAAAGTTATTGTGACAAAGTTTCAAAAAATCGGTCGGAAAATTTTTGAGATATCGAGGTTTTAGTGACGTCATGATTTCTGAGTTTTCGACCAAAAACGGCATATGTTCAAAAAATCATATAAAATCACAAAATAGACATACAGACATGCCGTAAACGCCATTAGACTGCCAATACCTTGAACAATCAAATGGCTATCTTCGATTATTGATTATCGTTCCGCATTTTCCAAAATCTTGAACTGAACCTTGGCAATTTCTCGTGACTACTTCACGACCATGATACATGCATTTCTTAAATTGAACTTTTTAGCCAAACACGTACACAGATGACAAAATGAATGTCACCATCGTGTTCTACGCCCCAAATTACCCACAAAACATGTGTCACAGGCTGCGAATATCAGTTTTGATTTTCGGGGATATATACCTACCCGGTTGACCTGACCTTGACCCTGACCTATGCTTGACTGACCCCTACATGGAGCTGACACTCTTGTAGACCTTATATGATGGATTGTGCACCGTTTTGACAGAGTTTGTGACGAGAGGCGCCCATTCCGAAGTCCTGAAGTCCATGCTACTGAAAGCCCGATTTCAGGTGTTTGACCTGACCTTGACCCGACCTGTGACCTCAAAATTCAACTTTAAAGTACTCATCTGAAGCGTCTCGTCGCGTTCTTTCGTTTGCCGCCTCGTGCGTTTCGCTGCGCCTATTGGTTCTCGAGTTATCGGCTGGGGGCGTTTAACGCCCCCCCCCCCAAGCAAACGGTGGGTGGCGAAATACCGCAGCAGCTGCCGGGTTAAAGTCCACACCCTACAGAAATCATGTTTCTTTATTGGGGCTTTTGAGAGCGCCAACTACCAAGGTCATTTTGCACTGATAACATCAACAAAACTCATAAAGCGGAAACCAATTTTGAAAATTGGGCTCAGCGGATAACATCTTTAACGTGCAAACACTAAAACCATCATTGTATTGCGACGTGTCCTACCAAGCAAGTAGCAGTGTGCTACTTGCTGCTTATTCCGCTTATTCCGCAACTCAATCACGCAATGTTCATAGTCTAGAATCTAATGTGCCTGAAATAGTTGGTTCCTAAACATTATGGAACTATGTCTGAATCCATCCATTGTGTTGAATGGAGACATGTATAGTGCACATGGAGCCGAGCATACCTACGGTCGGTGTGGAGTCGGGACTGGAGCCAGCGCCCTCCGTGGCCGGCAGACGAAGCTCGGGTATAACGCTCTACCACTGACGAGGGTGGAAGGGGAGACGAAATAACAAAACAAACCTCTGTTACTTATAACTCAAAATCTCTACATCTCTGAACAAAACTTGCTAGGGTCACAAAAAAACATTTACATGCAACCGGTAAAATCTAAATGCCAGCAGTAAATGAAGGCAAACATGTCAAATTTATAGTTGTCAGCGTCCACAGCAAACATTTGTAACACTTGGATGAGAGTTGAAACTGTGGAAAGGTCAGTGGAAAGGTTGCACTAACTCTGGAATCTGTTGAAGTTCATGACAGTCGCGAAAATAGCACTGCTTGTTGCGACGGAGACAAGATATCCTCCACTGCCGTATTTCACAGATATCCTGAGTCGAGGAGTAGAATCCAATGAATCCGGATGACAACATGAGTGGAATCCATTTTGCCGGAAAGCTTACTAAAATAAAGTAAGCTGAGCCATTTCTCGTACATGACAAATTGTTGAAACTGGGTGTCACCACCAATAATCTTTGTCGTTAGGTATTGCCAGTTCTCTCGCGGATCGCTCCCATATTCCAGCGTAACAGCTTCTCGGCTTTCCAATAGTCCCAGCTCCATGCCCACAACAGCAATTCCGAGTCTCCACTACTAACAGCGTCTCGTCTCCCGTCTCCAGCACTCACAATGCCCCTGATCGCTTATCTTCAGTACCACGAGTTCTCCTCGTCTCCCACTCTTAGCTTCTACTGTCTACAATACTTCCCGTCCGGTACTCGCAGTCACTTGTCTCCCGTCTGCGGTACTCACAGTGCTCGTCGTCTCCCGTCTTCGGTACTCATAGCATCCCTCATCTCCCGTCTCCGGTACTCACAGCGCCCCTCGCCCCCCGTCCCCGGTACTCACAATTCTCGTCGTCTCCGGTCTCCGCCTTCAGCAGCAGCCGGCCCAGCTCGGTGACCGGAGCCAGTGCGCCCAGGTGCAGGATCCGCTCAGAGTCGGCGGCGCCCTCCCCCGCTACCGAGTCCGACAGGTCAAACTTAGTCTCCAGACCAGAGACCGTCGGCAGGAAGAACGGCGCCGACTTGGGCGCCTTGGGGGCCTCCTTCGGCTTGTTACGTTTCTGCGGACGGGAGAAAGAAATGATACGAGACGTAAGCATATAAAAAAGTTAGAGCTCTTAGGCGATTTCTTTGGAGCTCCAATCATGCTGTCGCTTATCGAGGTATCAAACAACTTCCCTAGCACATTAGTCACGTGGATCACTAGCTCGTGGTGTATCGCCAACGTATCCCACATCAACTCATATATCCAACTCGACTCTGTGAGGCTCAGCCAGCACTTCAGCCCCTCCCCGTCAGCCAACTCGCCGGGAGAGTGGAGATACTCACCAGAATGGCGTCCACATTGAGCAGGTGCGCCCAGCGCGACTCTGGCAGCAGTGAGAGCGTCACCAACTGATCGGCCAGCTGCTGAGGACACGCGTACTCCTCCTCCACGTCCACCTTCACCTCCTCCTCCTCCTCCTCCTCGTCAGCGGCCGTCAGCACCACGCCGTCATCGGGCGCGCTGCCCGGCGCCGGCGCCACACTCGGCACATAGTCGGCCGGCAGCGGCGGCAGGCTAACGTAGTCAAACAGCGTCCGGTTGGCCCACAGATACACCCCGGTGTCGTCTACATGTGTGGTGGCCAGGAGACGACCGGCTGGACCGAGCGTCACGGAGGTGGGCGCCGTGTCTGTGCGGAGGACGTCCACCAGCGCCGCCTGGGGCAGGCTCCAGACGCGCACACAGCAGTCCATTCCGGCGGTGAGGAGCCACGCGCCGTCCGGGGACAGGCAGAGGTCGGTGAGGGGGCCGCCGTGGCCGGCGAACCGGCGCACCACCCGGCGCCCGTCGGCGTCCACCACACAGGCAGAGAAGTCGTCCAGAGCCACCGCCGCCAGGGAGCTGCGAGCGGGGACGGGGGGAGGAGGGTTAGTGGGGTGATGGTACTGCTCAAGACTGAGCAAGTTGATAGCTTGGAAGGTTAACAAGTATGAGAATTGTCATTCGAGACTAACTGAGTCAAACTTCATAGCTCAGTCTACTGTATCTTTTCACACAAACCGCATGCTAAGTACCGGGGTGAGGTATGTGGTTCTGTCTGCAGTGTATACCAAAACACAAGAAGTTTGCGTCATAGAGGTATTGACAAGTTTTATAACAGCAGTCCCCGCACCTGTCATGCTATTAGCGCAGCAGCCATTGGTCATACCTCTCCCTGTGCAGGACCATCCTGGCGGCGGGCGCGTCCAGGGTCAGTGAGTGCAGCAGCTGACCCGTCTTTAGCCGCCAGAACTTCAGCTGACTGTCGGCGCCGGCCGACAGCACCTGGTGGACCAGCCCAGTGGTGGCCACGCCCCGCACGGCGCCCTCGTGACCTGGGGTCAGGTCACACAGGTCAGATGATGGAGTCACATGAGCCAGAAAAAATGAAACACCCAGTACGAAGATTTTAAAATGTGTGAACCGAACAAAAATTCATGGAGGAGATAGTTCCTTGTCAATGGCATACACGATCGCAGTGGTGATGTTTTACACAGGGATGGATTAGATGGCGAATAGTGACTACATGGACCACCCGATGGCCGATACCCTTTGACCGGACCGAAGTTCCCCGTTCTCGACTGACCTGGGTCGCCGTAGGAGCCGCGCGCCAGCCCCGACTGGATGTTGAACCGGTCCACGTGGCCCGTGCTGTACCCGATGACGACAAAGTTGCCGCACGCCGTGATGTCCGCACACTGCCCATGCGGAAACGTTATCAGTCAGTTAAGGCACTAACAGACACAGATAAACAGACAACCAATGTCACTGTTGAAGCATAATCAGGGTGTCCATCATTCCAACATTCCGATAGTCAATTGCAATCGCGACAATGAACCACAAAGAAACACGTCACAACACCTCAACAAGCGGTAGCACAGGTCACAGAGACGCCAAAAATATGACAGCGCCCAATCATTGTTGGTACTATTTTCATACCGTAAACATTTAATTTAGCATCTCACAGGGCACTAAATTCCTTGTCTTACGTACGGTGGCGGCGGCGGCGCGTCCGGCGCGACCCTCGAGCCGGTCGGGCAGCAGCCGGTGCTCCCCCATCCGCTGTTTGTCAAACGACCAGGTGGTGACCTGAGCCACGCCACGGTGTACTGCGGCGATGTTGTCCCATTCCTTCTCTCGCACCGTCGCTGGGGAGGGAGGGTGTTTTGGTTAGAGGAGTTGGAACATAAAGGGTACAGCCTAAATCGAGCAGACTATGGTTCAAGAATCCGCATACATTTCAGGCCGTTCAGCTACAGTTCCGGACTTTCATTACGCTGGCAGATAACTATAAGCTCGATCAGCAATTTTCCATATCTCATACATACATATTTTCCATATTGAGTGGGTGGTAGGTACCACCACCCACTTAATCACGTCACGGTACCACAACTTCTCGACCTGTTCCTTCCCTCCCAGTTCCAGCTATCGCCACGCCATCCCATTCCCGGTGCAGTGACTCAACCGCAGTCGACCCCACCACACCCACCCACCCTCCCAGTGTCAGCCCCCTAACCCCGCTCCAGCCACCCCTCCACTCACAGGCAGCCAGCGACACCACGGGCGGCATCGTGAGCGTGTCGTGTACGCCGGCGCGCCGCTTCTTGGACAGTTTGCGGTTGTAGCTGGCCTGGCCGAAGCTCCTGCTAACGGCGTCGTTCTCGGAGGAGAAGACGCGGATGGTGCTGTCCTGGCCGGCGCTGAGGATGTTGCCCCGATCGTCGTAGAACCGGATGAAGGTGGAGGGGGCCGAGTGACCGCCTCGCGCGCGCAGCAGCCGGCCGCCGCCGTCGGGCATGTCAAATATCCACACCTGGGCAGGGACGGGAAGTGGAAATGATGAGTACTTAGGAATCAGCAATGAGCGTCATCGAGCATAAATGAGTTATGTGCGCGATGAAAGTAAGATCATGCGCTCTATATGTACAATTATTTCATTAAATTGTCTAGGCTACTAGAAAGACGACATGTTGGATGATGTTGAACACTAAAAGGAAAACAATGAATGGGTGACTTTTACAAAAAAAGCGAAGCTAAGGCAAATGATGAAGCATGCAGATCAGTCACTGCCGATACGTATATGATGATGATGATGATGATATTTATTGAACAGAAAGTACTGGAACAAAAGAGTAAATCGGAGATTGGTGCAGAAGCTCAAGGCTTAACTCGGGGCACCTCTCTCCGTGCACACTCATTCACAAACATACAAGCTTACGTGCAGACTCGTACCTATGCGTTACACTATACACATACATACAAACACACACTCTTAATCACTTATACTGGCACGCGCACACGTAACAATTCTTGGCGTATCAGGTAATTATTGTGCACTATTATTAGCGTCACGTGCATACATGCACTCACACACGCGCGCTCACACACACACATCGCATTTTCAAACAGTTACACTACACTCCATCGTACGCATCATACATTCTCACACAATCAGTCATCAATGTCTCGCGTTCATTGCACATCAGCGACCGTCGCACGAGGAGGGACACCCGCCCACAGCGCCCCGAAACAGCCGCCGGGAGCCGCCGCCCCACGCGCCCGAGAGGAGATTTGGTGATCAAAATCTGTGGGAATTAATTATGTATTTCTATATGAGTCTGGAACCCCCTAGCACTAAGGACGGGCATTCAGGGGAGAAATTAGACATGAATGATGTGTTTAGGGGCTTACCTTGAGCGAGTTATCCGGTGACGATGTGACCAGGAGTGGCTCGGACGGCAGCGCCGCCATGCCTGTCACGGAGCCCTGGTGTGCCTCCCACATCTGACCGAGCAGCTTCCGCTCCTCGAGGTCCCACAGCGCCACGTGACCTGAACGGGAATGCGGGGAGTGAGGAGCCTGAAGGTCACGTGACATGAAGGTGGCACGGAGAGCTAGGACACTGCAGGACATGTGACCTGACGGACCTTTCGGTGTACAATGCTCTGCAAAATAAAGTGATCCGACAAACGCCGTTAGTCGGCGAATGACACAACTTTCTGTACCAGCCCTGTGTGATCCCAGATATGAATACTGCCGGAGATTATTCCGTCGATACGGAAGACCAGTGACGTCACTCACCCTGTGTGCTGCCGGATATCATCACCGGCTGGCCGTCGGTACGGAAAGCCAGTGACGTCACCGGGCCCCACTCCTGCTGGAAGCGCATCAGCGTCTCGTCGAAGCGCAGGTTGTGAAGGATCATCTCTCCGCTGGCTAGGCCGACGGCCACCACGTCCACGGCCGGGGCCTGGAGGAGAGGGAAGGGGGGAGTCAGGTCAACGGGGTAATTTAGAGGGTCAGACGGGGTCCCCGATTCGCGCTCTATATAAGCTCGATCAAAATGATTTATGCTAGTTTGGAGAGCTAACTTTGGGCTTTAGGGACACATTGATTGCGCAGTTCAATTGGCGACAATTATCACCAAGCTTCAAAAGAGAAAACACTTAATTTCAAAAATTAAGTACACACCGAATTCAACGACTATCAATAAGCCCGAGCGAGCCGAGCGTCCCCAGCACCACATATCACCTGTTCAAGCGCAGTGACGGCGGCGCCCCAGCCGGTGAAGGTGTGCACGCGCCGAGAAGTGCGCAGGTTCCACAGCTCCAGACTGCCCTGCTCACTACCCAGCAGCACCTTGTTCAGGTAAGTGCTCGGGTGAGCCAGGCACGTGACACGAAACGACGAGTTACTGAATGATAGCTCGGTGTACAGCTCTGAAACAAAGGGAGAGTGATGGTGATGCAGATATATTGACGATCAGCATATTCCTCACATTATTAGAGTTGGTATTGGGACGTATCGGGACTGGTATTTCCTAACACCTAAATACGATGCCAATGCCAAAACAAGTTATCGTGCCCTTTGTCGATGCTATTCTGCATAGTCACGCATGAACCGAAAAAAGTAACTTGAGAACAATGTCTAGCCAGTTTGAGAGCAACCGAATAGCCAACTAAAGACCTAGGGCCGTATTCACGTCGATCATTTTCGTAAGAATTTTCTTAAGTTTGACCTACTTCTTAAGTCATTTTTTTATTCACGTGAACTCCGTCGATAAAAACTTATGAAGTGTCGACGTGAATACCAAATTATACTTATGAAAGAAAATCGACTTACGAAGTCGACGTGAATACGGCCCCTAGTTTCCCAGTTGTCTCGCACTACCATCGTGTCAGCCCACCTTCCGAGTTGATGTCCCAGACGCGCAGGGTGCTGTCCGTGTCGACAGTGATGAGGTGCGGTCCGAACGGCAGCAGCAGGTGCACCGGCTGACTGTGCTCCGGGTAGGTGTGCACCAGCTGGGGTAGGGAGATACGATTAGACGTCGGTGACGAAAGCATACGGCGGCAAATAAAATGTAACAGGGTAATAATCCTATGGCGCACAGCAATATATAGACTTCACTGAACACGACTAATAAGACAAAGCACGCCCAGCATACCTATACGATATCACGTCTAATGTGTTGGCGCCCTCAGCCTCAGACTATGGCACACCCACCTCAGTGCCTCGCCTCCACGCGCGCACAGTGCGCCGTACAGCGGTGTAGACGAGCGCTCGGTCGGCGGCCATGACCTCAATGTCGGCCTCGTGTGGCTCGCTGACACTGAGCAGCTGCAGCCGGCTGCACTGTGGGACAGGGTGGGTATGTCACTGCAGCTCACTGATGAACGGGATGGGGTGTCACTGAAGTTGAGTATCTGCAGCCGGCTGCACTGTGGAGCAGGGTGGGGTGGTCACTGCGGCTCACTGACGGGCAGGGTGGGGGTGGTCACTGACACTGAGCAGCTGCAGCCGGCTGCACTGTGGGACAGCGTGGGGCGGTCACTGTAGCTCGCTAACACTGAGTAGCTGCAGCCGGCTGCACTGTGGGACAGGGTGGGGTGGTCACTGACACTGAGCAGCTGCAGCCGGCTGCACTGTGGGACAGGGTGGGGAGGTCACCGCTGCTGCGCTGCAGGACAGGGTGGTGGTTCCTGATGAACAGTGGGACAGGGTGGGGTGATCACTGACTTAGTGAAATCAGTTTTTGCCAGTGAGATGCATGCCTACTGTATCAAAATGAGTTGCAACTATACTAAGACCAAGCAATAAAAAGCTGAAATTAGTTCAACCTTGATAATCTCTCAAACATGCTCCTGACTTCTCATTTGTGATTTGATAATTGTATACTTACTGCATAAGTGTGGAAAGACTTCCCAACGCATGTAATTATTAAGTTCTCTTTTCTCTTATGTATGTATCTGACAAGCAACGGCACATGATTGCTTACAAAACCAAGAGCCCTATAGCCCTTGAAAATCTTGCTGGATGTAGGCATCTTGCAGTTAAAAAGTTACTGCTTCTAATAATAAGATGTTTTCATGATGGTAATGTTGTAAAGAGAAATGAGCTATTGCTGAAACACAGAGGCATGTTCATGATTAGTTAGGTTCAAAGGTAAGGGAACTGAACCTTCTACCACTCAGTACTAGTCAGTACTTTAGTGATCATAGTACCCCCTCAGTCACAATGCATAACACTAGGAGTCCAAAAAAGAACACCACAGCCATAGGTGGGCAAGTCCGTTAAATCGCTGACCCGTTAATTAACGGAACTAAATTTTGGGTTAACGATTAACGGACTCGCTAATTTTTTCCACGTGTAACGGACCGTTTAAGTTCCGTTACTTTTCGGCTCCGTTAATCGTTAAAATTTAGTCCGTTAATCCGTTAATCGTTACTTTTATTTCGAAGCAAAAAGTTTACTGTAAAGTTACTGGTGTGTATGAAACCCTCCATACCCATACGGGATACCCTCCAGCGCCTCAGTGGAACGAATGTTCTCGACCGGGAAAGACATTCTAAGAGCAAAACGGGCTACCCTGTCAGACGAAAACATCGAGCGCCTGGTGTTCTTGAAAGGAAACCGTGCTCTCGCAGCAAACCTGTGAGTAGCTACTAGGTGTAGCCTATAGAGCAACTGGCAATCCCCCCCCCCCCCCCCCCCGAGTGTGATTGCCGCTCCGCTTGTGCTCGCAGGCTGCGAACACAAGAACACAAGTTACTTGAGTGCGCCTCTTGAGCTGTTTGTGTGCGCCTCATCTCTGGTATTCAGTGTGTTGCGGCAATATACGTTGCAAATTGTGATGCACACGCCTGTCATTGGAACACTGCCTGGCTGAGAGGCGGAGAGAAAGGGTAGAGCTGTTTGTCAGGCGGGCTGAATCGTCGGTAACGCAGGTTGAAATCGGTCGCAACTCGCATCACACATATCATCACCATGTATTATATTTATAAATAGGTATATCTTATACATGCCGTCACCGAGCAGGCGCAATTGTTGGCAGGTCTTCGAGAGCAGAACCGCGCTACGACAAGTGAGTGGCGCGTAGCCGTTAGCGTAGGTTGGTCGAGTTGTCCTCAGAATATTGTTTATTACCCGACCGTGTAAAATGTTAACGATTAACAGACTTAAGTACCTTACCTTACCTTACCAATACAGAATTTTGAGGCCTATAAGGCCTGTAGGGATCTGATCTCATCGAGCTCCTTACTAGAGACAGTCATGAATCTTGGGCTGGGATGTCAAAGGATGCATCACCCCAGTGAGAGTCGAGACGGGCTTTGAAGATATTGACAGACGTAGAGAGGACCACAGAGGCAGGAAGCGCATTCCAGTCGTTGATGGCGCGGACCGACAGAGTGTGTCTCCTGGGTCTTGAAGCAGCTTGAGGCTTCAGCAGCTTCAGAGCATGTCCTCTGGTGACAGATGAGACTGCCTGCTCGAAAAACTGGTCCGGCCGAACGTTGACTCCTCCCGTCAAAATCTGGAAGATGGCGATTACGTCTCCTCTCCGTCTTCGGTGATATAGTGATGGGAGCTTGAGTCGCCGGAGGCGTTCCTGGTAGGGCAAGTGTCTTAGCTCACGGACCAGTTTGGTTGCTCTCCGCTGCACTCGTTCAATCAGCCTCTGATCAGCTCGGTTGAAGGGCCCCCAGATGAGGTTCCCATATTCTAGATGGGGTCGTACCAGCGTTTTGAAGAGAATCGGCAGGGTAGTCGCATCAATGCAAATGAACGATCTTTTTATCAGTGCGAGCATTTGGTTGCCCTTTGCAGCTGCAGACGCGGCCTGCTTACGAAACTTCAGGTCAGAATCCAGGTGAACCCCCAGGTCCTTCTCTACTTCAACCGTATTCAGCTGGAGACCATTCATGGTGTATGAGTGCCCAGGATTCCTAGGGCCGAGATGAAGGACCTTGCACTTTGATTCATTGAACGGCAGTTGCCACTTCTCCGACCATTTGGCCACTTCTTCAATGTCTCGCTGGATTGAGCTTGTTCCAGTGGACGATGGTGTTCCGAAGATTTTGGTATCATCTGCAAAGACCTTGATGGAGCTCTGCACGGATTCGGGTAAGTCATTGATAAATATGATGAACAGCATTGGCCCGAGGACTGACCCTTGAGGAACCCCACTGGTCACAGGCACCCAAGGCGAGCAGTGTCCTCTGATCACCACCTGTTGACGCCGGTCCGATAGGAAGGAGGCAATCCAGCCCTTTAACCTTCCTGTGATACCGTATCCCTCGAGTTTATTCAGGAGTCTCAGGTGTGGCACAGAGTCAAAAGCCTTTCTGAAGTCGAGATACACCGCATCAACTGGTTCGCCATTCTCTATGCACTTGGTCCACTCATCCAGCACTTCAAGAAGCTGGGTCATGCAGGATCGCTGTGGTCTGAAGCCGTGCTGGTGGTTCGATAGGAGGTTGGCTTCTTCCAGGTGAGTCATGAGATGATCTCGGATCAGGGATTCAAGTACCTTGCAAGGAATTGCAGTCAAGCTCACTGGGCGATAATTGCCTGGGTCCAGCCTGTCCCCCTTCTTCAGAATAGGTACTACGGTGCCAAGCTTCCAGTCGTCTGGAAGACAGCCAGACTGAATGGACTTGTTGTAGATGATGGATAGTGGGACCGCCAGCTGAGCAGCCGCCTCGATCAAGACCCTAGGGTGGATTCTGTCTGGCCCTGGGGAGCTAGAGCTCTTGAGTCGCATCAACTTGTGTTTAACCATGTCGGCCGTGACCGTCAGGTCGCGAAGGTTCAGTGACTGGCCAGGTGGAGCAAGAGATGGTATAACAGAGGCATCCTCGTTGGTGAATACCGAAGAAAAGTACTTGTTCAGGATGCTAGCCTTTGTGACGTCATCTCTGATTACCAATCCGTTCTCATCTCTCAAGGCGTCAATGCCAACCTTGGTTTTGAGTCTCGAGTTGGAGTATTTCCAGAAGGCCTTTGGGTTGTCCTTTAGCTCTTTTGACAGTCTGAACTCAAAGGTACGTCTCAGCTCTCTGGTATGCTTTCTCAGTCTGTTCCTGCATCGGCAGTACCTGGCGTAGTCCACAGGGTCCCTGGTGTGAGCATACATATTCCAAAGCAGGCTTTTCTCACGCCTGAGCCTCTGCGCTCGGTTATCAATGTACAGGTTCTTGTTAGGTCTGTGGTGCGTCACCGGCACTGTGCGAGCAACTGCCTCTCTGAGGGAGCTCACAAAATAGTGGTAGGCGCGATGCACGTTGCTATCATGCATCACAGTCCAGTCCACATCTTGGAGCACACTCCTCAGTAGATTGTAGTTGGCTCTGTTGTAGTTCAGATGGGGACCGATTGGGATCCCTTTCGTAGTGTAACATTTCAGACTGAACTCCAGAATGACATGGTCACTATGGCCAAGACCTGGTGAGTGCTGCAAGTCCTGTACCATCCCTTCCTCGTTGGTGAAGATGAGGTCAAGCATACTTGGGATTTGACCTAAACGATACCTTGTTGGTGCAGTGACATGCTGGGTAAGAAAATGGTCTTGCACACATGAGAGCAGTGCATGAGAATGATGTCCAGGGGGCTCGTCTGAGAAATAGGACGCCCAGTCAATCTGTGGAACGTTGAAGTCTCCGACTACCAGAATGTGAGAAGGACTCAAATTTCCAGCCAGTGACAGACTTCTATCCAGCTCAGTTATGCCCAGATGTCTGTCTCCGGACGGACTCAGGTAAATACACCCAATCAAGAGTTTGTCCCCATTGCGAAGGTCGATCATAATCCATATCTGCTCCATGGATGTGGGTGGGTTCGTTTGAAGAGTTACTTCATGAGATGGCAGGTGCTCCTTTACATATATGCACACACCTCGTTGTCCACTCGCCCCGAGATTGGGTCTTGACAGGTCCACATTTACATAAATGTTGTACTTGGGGAGGGCCAGTAGAGCAGGGTGAATAGGAAGAATCTGGGCCTTAGGAACAACTTCTGTGATGAGAATGACATCAGGCTCATTCTGTGCAATTACCATAGACAGGTCGTCCCTCTTGTTGATTAACTGATCGGCATTAGTATAAATGACTTTGATTTGCTTTGCTTGACCACTAATACCCGACCCATATAGTCAATTTTGGTTGCTGTCAGCGTGTGGCCGTGCTGACTCTGTTCGGTTAGGCTGGGCGTTCGTAGGTCTGTCAGCCTGTTTCAAAGTGCTTGAGCTGGGGTTGGGGTTGGGTGCTGGGTGAGTCGAAGAGTTTGGGTGAGAATGAGTAGCCTCATTGTTGTTCATCCTCACTATCTTCCCCTTCCTGATAGTCAGGTGCTCCTCCCCTGCCAGCTTTCGAGCAGCCAACTCCTCCCTGAGCCGTTTTCCTTCTTCCCTGTCTTTCTTTGAGAGATCAGGGGTGACATAGATCCTCTTCCATGTTGAGAGGTGTCTGAGTTGTGGAGCCATCCTCAGTACCTCTGCTTTTGCATCAATGCTGTCTAGAGAAACAATGAGAAGCCGGGGCCTTTCGTCACTCCTTTTGCCAGCTCTGAATGCCTTAGTTGGCCTGATGACTAGGCTCATGCCTTCTTTGATTACTTCTTTGAAGAGGTGAAGGTCCTTTTCCATTCTCTCAGACAGCGTCTCCCCTTCCTGTTCTGGCAGGTTATGTACCACTACATTTAGTTTTCTTCTCTCTTTGTCCATGAAGCTGTCGAACACTCGTGACATAGCATTGGTGGTTTCAGATAGACCATTGTGGTCAGTCTTGGGCTGGGTTGGAAGGATGTCAATTTTTGCACCCACATCCTTCACCACCTTCTCGCATGTTCCACGAACGATGTCAGCGTAAGACTCCCTCTGGGCATTTTGCTCTTTACAGACTCTTTCAAGAAGGTGTGAGTGATCCATGGTAGTTTTCTCCTGTTCTTTGATGGACTGAACGATGACCTTCATGTGCTCGCGCACTGAGTCAGCCATCTGTTGGACTTTTGTTTCTAGTTTTTGCAGTGCGTCTGCCTTACCGATTGGTGACTGAGTGGGATCGGTCCTGTTCCCCGTTCCAGGCCCCTGCTTTTTGCATGCATCGCAAAGCCATGACAAACATTTGTAGTTCACAAGGGCATCGTGGGCCTTCCTCGGAATAGCCTGGCACTTGATGTGATACCAGGATTCACACCAGTCGCACTGGACGGCTTTATCCCCATCCAACACCTGCATTCCGCACAAGGCTTTTCCGGGGCCACCCTGGCATGTAGCAGATTCATTGGTTGACTCGCTTGTGTCGCTTGAAGAGCGGCTAATGCTCGTCATGCTACCAAATGGAGTGTAGACACTGGCATTCAGTTTACCTACTTCTTTTCCTTTTGCCTCCTCGCGGTTAGTTGCGGTTGTGTTAGAAATGGGGTCATTTGTCTCACCTGAATCCCTCTGGGCCTCCCCGGCCTTGCCCGGGGTCTTGTCACCTTTTTGCAGCCCGATCACTTTACCATTACCTGCACTTCCACTTTCATTTGTCGAAGCACCACGTTTTCCCGCTTCCGTGTTTTCCTCACGGCGTCCCGCGCCCGGCGGCGATGGTGGCGCGTTATCCACTTGTAGTGATGATCGTGTTCTCATTTGAAGTTTTGGCGGTGGAGTTCGGGTCATCGACATGATTGAGCGTACAGATATTTTTGGAATTTATCTTGATATACTTTTGAACTGGACAAGCTTCTTTCCAAAACTCAAGTTGCACGTCGTTACGAAGCCGCGCTCTATGCCAAGGTCACACAGGAAGGAAGTGATTGGCTGATAGAATCTGGACGGTAAATGGAAATCTCGGGAGCTCGATGGACACGTCCGACCCCTTCGAGATCCAAAACAAAAGTCCCTTGTCCACAACAAAAGTAACTTCCGTTACTTTTGTTGTGAATTAACGGATTATCGTTTAACGGAACCAACTTTTTAGTTACCGTAAAATGGGGTGTTAAGGGACAGTTTTGAGGTGTTTTGTTATATAACTCAAGAAGGGTTGGAGATAGAAGCATCAAATTGTCAGCATTTTATGTGGAATTTGGTGCTTTACATGCCTGCCACATTAAAGTTTTTAAGATTTATACCTGCATATTATTTTTTATTATTTTTCACCACTGTCCCTTAGCACCCCAATGTGGGGTGTTAAGGGACACCTATATTATTCCAAGAAATGGTCATCAAATGCCCACAATTGGGGTGTGGAAGGGCACACAATTTATTTATTGAAATGTTTTGCATATTCTGTCACAAAACAAGTCAGGTTCATTCACCACTAATGACCTTTTTAGCCAATTACGTGTAATGCTGTTTACGCTTGTGGAAATTGCTAATTATAAGGTAAACAGAACCAAAAAGTAATCTTCTGTCATCAATAAAAACCCATGTTGAAGCTAGTCACTTGTCATTATGTTGCCCTCTTTGTTTTGGCCTTTTTATGATGACATCACATTTACATACATCAGTCTCCATTGACCCATCATTGTAAAAGAGAGTGTTGAGATGTTTTGTTACATAACTTAAGATGTGTTAGAGATAAAAGCATGAACTTGCCAGCATTTTATGTGGAATTTGGTGTTTTCCATGCCTACTGAAAGAAAACTTTATTAAATTATATTTAGATTTTATTTTTTATTTTTTCTTCCCTGTCCCTTAGCACCCCACTTCCACCTCAAAATATGCATGTATCCGGAAAAGAGGAAGAGGATGATGAATGAATGGGTGGATTTGCACATGTTTTTCAGGAAACATGTGCAATACATGTGACAATACACCTATGCATTCATTTTCCCTGTACACCCACTAGTTTATGAGGTACACACAGAGTTTTGGAGATGTTTCAATTTTGTGAAAATGTAGCATGATTTTCAAATCCATTTTTGAACCAAATCACTTGCATGAAAAACCATAGCATTTTGTCCTATGGTCAAGAGCAAAACAGTGTCAACTACCACACTGAAGTTTTTATTGAACCTTCTCAAATTAGGAAGTTAATATGACTCAAAGTTTTTCCCATGCAACTGTCCCTTAACACCCCACTGTCCCTTAACACCCCATTTTACGGTAACGGATTAACGATTAACGAAACTAACTTTTTGATTAACGATGCCCACCTATGACCACAGCACAGATACAAGGTAAACCACAGGTGATTTTGAAGAACTCTCATATTGCTCGGAGAATACTGATGCTGCAACATACTCATATCACTCAAATTAGGACTTCATTTGTTGTGAATATTTCCCTGGGGTTTGTGGTAAATATCTTCCCTACAGCCTGCCCTACAGCCATGGCACAGAATTAAAGAAATGTATGTACAAGTGTAGTATGCATAGTGACATATGCCGCAATAAATTGCACAGAAAGGTTAGGTTGACTACCCCCGCGTTCGATGTCTCTCGGACGACAAAGATTCTACGTCGTCCGGCCAATCCCGTCCAAGGTCAGCGGGGGCTCGGCTGCGGTTATGGAACGTGATTGGCCGGACGGCGTAGAATCTTGGCCGTCCGAGAGACATCGAACGCGGGGTACATCAACATGAACCAGTTTTCATAGCTTTTAAAGTAAAGGGGTTGAAAGAAATGGCATGCTGATGCTGGGTCAGGGTGGGTGAAGGGTAGCTGGCTTGCTGGGTTTCATAAATTTTGATGATTGGTGGTCATTTAGCCATTGTAATCATTAAATTCTTCCACAAAATGTTCACAATCAAATCCTCTTCATCTTAACTTGAAGATGATGATCTTGATCTTAGATTCATTGCACTTTCAATTTGGTGTCCCTCATGCACACATAGGGATAATTGAGATACAACGAAATGTTAAACAAATGACTCTTGGAAACATGATTGCAACATTGTAAAAGGATTACACAGCCAATATTTATTAGGCAAAGGCAGGCAAAGGAAATGGGGGCTTCAGGGGGCTCAATCTCATGTCAACTCAATCTTTGCGAATGAGGCAAGGCTATATAACCTCCTTCTTATATAAGGGAATGAGGCAATTTAGCGACCTCCTTTTCAATTCGCTTCGTCAATTGCGATAAAAATACCAGCCGCTGTTATAAAAATGAAACTGCAAATCATATTAGTTGCCTTTTACAATATTTTGTCCAAAATTGAAATATGGAATGCACCAATTTGTGTGGCCTGGCAAATTACACGTGCTATGTGCATACATGCATACATGCGCGTTGTGCATAGGTAATTTTGTCGCAGCTGCGCAACAACAGAAATGAACGCCACAGCTAATTTGAATTTATGAAGAGTACAACTTAAATCCATGCGGTCTTGTGAGCTTTGACACTTTGATTTCGGCCTTTTTTGCCAGTCTTAACTTACCTCCCACCTATCATGGAACATGTTGTTTGACAATATACAGATTTCAAGGTCAGGGTCAAGGTCAACCTAGGTCATCTACAGCATTGCGTTTTAGGCAAGCTGAATTTACTTTTCGTGAAGTTTTTTTTTACTGTACTTTCGGTAAAAGCTTCTCATTAGTCATTTCATTATCTCATGTAACATGGACACATAAACAATCGGTGCACACATCAGTATACACACAGACACACACAGACATACAAACACATATCATTGACATTGACCTAACTTGACCTGAAATGACCTCAGCAGCAAAAACCTGGTCGGATAGTGTGACAAAGTCTAAAGAGGTTCTAGCTGGCTTGGCACCACAAAACGACATCGTCATCGGTATATGATGAGCAGCGCACTTGATATCCAACGGTGACCCAAAACAGCAACATTTTTTAGGTTGACCTGACCTGGAAGGTCAATGGCTGACCTGAGAAGGTAAAACTGGGTATCATTGGATTTGTCTCTTCCCAAAGAATCTTTTTGGTCTTTACTGCGAAGCTCTATCTCCCAGAGGCGGATCCAGCTCAGAGTTTTTTTTTTTGGGGGGGGGGGGCAAACCATAACAATTTATCGATTCTTTCCATGCCTCGTCCATAGGCGTAATGTTAAAATTATGCCGTTTGGGAGGGACAATATATGCCCATTTTGCCCCCCCCCCCTGGATCCGCCACTGCTATCTCCAACAGGAACGAAATGGTGCGGGGGGATGGCAACCCCCTCCATGTGCGTTCTAGGATGGAAAAATGGCATGTGACGTACATTCACATTTACGTTCAAATCGATATTTGTAGAACAATTCATAAGGTACTGTTACGATGAGGTAGGTATTCACAAAGTTTAGGGCACACAAAAAAAATGTTCCTCACAGTGAGGAGAAGCTTTACCTAGTTACTTCTGACTTCAGGACTTCACTCTTGGTTTCGAAATAGTGGCGTCAAATGTCGGGGAGCCGCTTGAGTGCCTTAACTTGGCTGATAGTATTCTAATTGGTTTCTATGACTTCCCCGCCTACTATCAGGGACGACTCTAGCCTGTGAAAAACTTGACTTTGACCCATTCATGAAAGGTCAAAAGTCGGGGTACCGCAGAAGTGGGCTTATCTAATTTTCGTCTGATCGTTTTGTCACTTTCGTAAGTCGTCTCTATGTGTTCCTCGCCTGAGGGCCCATCGCAGGCACGCCGCACGTAGCCAGGATTTCGCTCAGGGAGGGGCCACAGCCCACAGGTCGCGGTCTAGTGTCGTACCCCCCCCCCCCCCAAAAAAGGAAAGCTCCTCGGATTTGGACCACAATTCTTGGGTATGTGGTGCAGATATTTTTATTTATTTTTATTTTTCATTTAATTTTATTTCATTTTTCGCCTTCACGGGGGGGCATGGCCCCCGTGCCCCCCCCCCCCTTGGCTACGTCCCTGGATCATCGAAAGTGATCCTGACCTATAACCTCTAGGCGTTAGGTATAGGTCAAATAAGCCTAGCAAAGTCGTGTATCGCTGTCATATGATTCGGCAGCTGAAGCTCGATAGCTCCAGTTTTTGGTACAACACAGCACGAGAGCTCCAGTAACAAAATATGTTACTAACCATTGTATTTCGAAACTGACATTGCGTTCCACGTTTGGGTCTACTTTCACCATTTTGGACCTATAGGCCTATATACGGCCTTGCCTATATTTACCTAAAAGCCTAATCTTTGGGTTTGGGTGTCCATGTTCCAATAAGCTTCCTCCTCTCACATAATTGGACCCGCGTCTCTTGTCTCTCCTCAATTCCGTCAAACATTGCAGTTGCAAAACTGTGAAGTGAACACAGCTACAAGTGGACAAGATTTATCCGTCTTTTTTATATACCTATTTAAAACAAATAAACTCAACTTCCTTTTATTTAACCTGCCAGTATATCCGAATCGCGAATATCTATCTTATTGTGGCCTTTTTACGTCAGCTACAATTGCTGAGTGCCGAGCGTTCGAGCTCCTTTTCATTTTTGTGAAAGTTGTCGGACGGTCTGTGGAAGAATGCGATTTCAAATAATGGTTAATACACCTTGATAGTTGATATTATGACTCTCGCCATAAGTTACCTGCAGATGATAGTAGCCAGTCAGCTACGTTTTACACCTACCGACCACTCCGTTAAAAGCTTCGATTGGAGAAATTTAGGGAATATCGCTCACAATGAGATGCCTATGTAGCTGAACAACATCCCAGTAAAAAGAAACTAGTTTAATATCATCAGCACACGAACAAAAGGCCTTTTATGTCAGCATAACTCAAATTGAATGCACAGTAGTCGTCAGAGGTGGAACTTTTTGTTTTCCATTGGGGTTGTATTTGCCGGAGCCCAGGGTATACCCCCACCAAAACCCGAAAAGTCCCCGGATTCGGCCCACTATTTTTCGGGAGGGGCCCACATTTTCATTTACAAAAA